ATGCGAACACGTTGCGTAACCGCTGAAAACAATATATCAAGGAAATGAATGTTACAGGAGATTACTGTAAAAATGCATTGAGTTTTTCTTAACATCGGCTACAAAGATAATGGCACTGAGAAGATGACAGGTTCAGTTACTGCTGAAATTGACATTTCGGCTATGCCTTTTCTCTTGACGCTGCCTGCAGCCTCTCATCGCCTCATTGCAGTTCGCAGTATGGTTGCATGCAGAGCTATCCGACAGAATCACCCTCTCCATTCCAGGCACAGCCTCGTGAGGATAGTCCAACTAGGGAATCGTCTTTATTAATTGTGGACGGGTGTCGTATTAGGTCGATGAGGTCTGTTTTGATATTAATTCTTCCGAGCCGCGAGGGAAATTCCTTCGTAACCTACTTTTCGTGACCCCGTTCCATGGGTGTTTCATACCCTCACCCATACTCTTCCACCTCTTCCCCTCTCCCCATTGTTTCCTCCTCCCCCTCCCCCCACTCCCGTTCCGCCCCTCTGTTCGACGGCACTTTTTTCGGAAGAATTTGTAATTCTTGGAAAAACTGGATAGAGAGATAGGACGTTAGGAGATTAGAAAGATGACAAGTAGAATAGCGGGATAGGAGGGGGGAGTGTAGGGCACGTGCGATTTCCAAATCGCGCGACTGTGGCCGACTGTGCTCCACCGTTAAATGGGCAGGTGGAACGGTCAAAGGAAGTTTCTCCCCTGAATGTGGCTGGATCAGGGGTCACCTCCGTCCAGTGATTTGCAGATGAGCGCGATCAGTAGCAGCCGCGTGATTTGGGAATGGCCAAGGTCGTGAAGTATAAACGTGGATTAATATGACGCCTTGAAGAGGTCTACTCTTTACAATGCCGGATCCAAAAAGCCAGTTTAGCAATTGTGAGAGCATTCTTTCGTGCTTCCTGTATGTAAAAGAAAGAGGACATACACGAGAGAGAGACAGAGAGAGAGAGAAGGAGAGAGAGAAGAAGAAAAGAAGGAGAAATACAGAAGAAGGGAAGAAGAAGAAGAAATACAGGAAGAGAAAAGAATCGGATCACTGAAAGGACGGCATGATTTTGAAAGAAAAATATTTGCGGAATCCAGGACCCAGCTTCGTTATGCTCGCGAACGGGCACTTCGAAGGGATTTCTCAAGCAAAAAGTAACTTTCCAAAAAATTGTTACTACATTGCATTTACCTGTCCCCTGGTATATCCTTGCTTTCCGCGACAACAACATGCTCCCAATATTGTGAAGAATAGCACAAGCGGAATCGGCAGAAGTGGTCCCAGGGCAACAGCGGCTCCAACCCATTCTGAATACGGCCAAGAATGGATGGCCGGCGAGAATATGGAGAAGTCGTAGTCGTGAAGGTTCAGCAACGCCACCGCCTAAATTTATAAGAAGTAGATGTAACGTTATTAATACTATGAAGCCAGTTGCGCTTTTCAAAAAGCTACGCTTCCTTGACTTTTTTTACCCTGAACACATACTGCACACTCATCTCCAAAGATTCTAGCTCTTGCTCTGCTCGAGGTGAATGGATTCGCAGCCGCAGTAGCGTGCGAAGTGCTCGGGAGTGAAGCTGAAGTGTAGTGACACCTGGGTGCTGTCTGGGACTCACGGCTAGCCACACGCCTAACATGGCCAAGCGCGCCAGGCTGCAGGATACTGGTATCGACACAAGGGCTAAACCTCAAGGAGAGCGTGGGCAAAGTCCCCCAGGGGTCTCACAACCCTCGAGCGTTTTTTCTACACGCTTTTGCTGGTCGAAGGTGTTACACCTGTACAGCTGCGAACCCGCTTGGGAAAAACCTCGCTTCGTCCTTGGTGAGTAAACCGCAAGAAGAGTGACTATACACTTAACCATAAAAGATATAAAGTACCCTTATGAGGCCTCATGAAGCTCCGCCCACAAATGGACGACCGTACCTGATGCTCGTATTGCTTCATTTGCGAAGTAAAATATGAAGCGAAGGGATTGATATGAAGCGGCTGCGGTGCTGCATGGATATATGAGTACATACATGCAGCCGTATCTACCGTAGCGGTTATTGGCAAGATGCCTACGGGAAACTCGTCCGAAATTGCTTCTGAGTCATTAAGAACGAAGGCTTTTCTTCGCAGTTCTTGACCGTTTTGCTTCGTTTTTTCGCCATTCTCTCACTACCTCGGGCAATACTAGCATTTCAGGCCGAGTACCATCGTGCCAACTGCTTTTATGTAGAACAAGACCTACCGCTGGTAGCACTGGCAGGAGGTATGTGAAGAATAGAATGAAATGACCGAAACACCAACAACAAGCGTTTCTCAACATTGCATGTAGATCCATACCAAGTCGATGTGCACCTAGAAAGTAATCTCGCTCTTTCTGACGTTCTATGCTACACAAAAATGCAATAATTAGACAATTGGAGATTGTGAAATGTCAAACATATTTTCGATTTTTTTTGTGAAATGAGAATATACGTCACAACGAAGAGAACACAACCAACCACTCAATCCCTTAACTGCTGCCTCCAGTATGGCCCCCTTCACGTAATACTCCAACAAGGGTACATCTTCGTGATGTATGAAATGGTGGTGTCTGTACGACCTCCCTCCGAAGGAGGGTCTTGGTACGACCCCAACCCCTTTCCCCAACACCTACCTACCACATTCCTACAAGTCATCAGCTTCCCACCAGCTTTTCCAAAAGTTCCCACATTTTCCAGTTTTTTCACCCAAAAATTTTCCGTATAGCGGTGAGGGGTAGTCAAGAAACACCTACTTTTTCAACTATCGGAAATACTAGTTGTATAGAACTTCGGGCGCCACCCAACTAGGCGGTGGGAATAGGGGATGAACTATTGATCATTGCCTAACCAACTCTATCTAGATCATTTTGTAGTATTCCTTAATCCGGTCCTCTTGGCAGCTTTCCGTCCGCTCACAAACTTAAACGTATGATACTTTTTGTGCTGGTGCTTCACCGACCGCGTTTTACGATCCTCCTTCCTCCCCCTAGCGAGCCGGCAAACTAGTCCTCCGTCACAGTGCCGCCCCGACGCCCAGGCGAGACGAGCCCACTACGTGCTTTACAAACGATGCTGTACCCTGAGGTCTAACCTTCACCTACTTTCACCTCAGTCGTTTACTAAATCAGAGACCCAGCAATCATAGGAACCCAACAGACCAAAGACAACTGTACTGAGTACTCCCCAATTACATCCTAACATAAGATACCCTCTATTGTCAATGTTCTATCAGTTCTCACGACATCTATCCAAAAAATTACAAAGCAATTTCAAAATAGAAAAATGGTGAAAAGGGTAAGGTAGACGTAAAATTGAAAGAATGAAGAGAATAAAGAAAGAAGAGAAGAAAAACTTCATAACCAACGATATTCGAATCACTTACAATAGAACCAAGCGGTCGCGAATAGTTCGAAGGTGAGAATTACAAAAATTGTGACGTATTTTAAGAACCCGGTCACCAATTCATATGCATGGCGTCCAGCCTGAAATTCAGCGAGTATGCAATGGAATGTAAAACCTATAGGTATTTTGGAGAAAAATAAAGAGAAATAAAACGAACAGGCAAAAATTCACAGTAACCTACCTGCGTGGCGAAATACAGTGAGATGGCAAAGCAGAGACAGCAAACGAACAGAGCCAGCACGAAGCGCGGAAAACACCGTGACCAGCGGTCACCCAGTGCGTCTTCGAGAGTTGCTAGCACCGACAACGACAAGAGGTACTGCAAGAGATTCACTTGGTTCCGACTAGTTTCATAATCTAAGGGAAATAATGACAAAATACGGGCCAGGTGAAACCCAGCAAATTGTATTCCCTGGCTTTTAGAGGCCCAGCAGGCAGACGGATTCATATCCTATAGATTGAAATTTCAGTCATAGCAAAAACTGTGGCCCAAGGGGCTTGATGGGTGCTGAAACTGGGAACCAGAGCTTTCAAGAGTTGAAAGACGCCCTCGTCAGTCGGATCGGTGTCTGGAAGGGTAGAATGAGCCCACCGCGGCGATTCACGACTGCTGCTCTCTTCTTGAACCGACCACCAACCGATCACTATTGGTAGGAATGGCATAAGGAGGGGACTCATTCCGCACGCCCCGAACAACTGCAGCGGTGTCAACTACAATCCTTTCGGATTACGCCATGTATTCGCAAACAATCTTGCAAAGTGGGAGGTATTTGCATGCTCACTTAGCCTATATAATTAGCTTTGAGGATAAAACGATGTTCAAGTCCTGGTTTTCAATCCATTCAGACCACATTCTCATGACATCAACCCGACACGGAGGGTTAAGTGCGATTTGGTGACTTTATCCATATAACCTTTTTTTCTTCTAATTTCCCTCTTCGAATCCTTTCTATGACCTTGCATCTAATGAACGTCTATTTCCATGTGACGCCGTATTCCGCTCTAAAGATTGTTTAGCTATTGAGAATATTGTTAGAAGGAACTTATCAAATATACTCCAGTAGTATAATCATATGGATGCAAGACAATCAGCCAGTCCGCTCCACAGCTTTACATTTGGCAGATAGGAGAAGTAAGCTAGAACGTGCCACATTTGTGCCTCACCTAAAATTTAATTATTTCATTCCTCAGTTTTGAGATGACAACCGAGGCCTAAGTAGGGACACATCAGAATGCAGTCTTTGGTTTAATGTGAAAACACCTGGACGTCCGATTCTGATGCGCTAGGTGCTAACAACTGACTTTGTCCATGACATCGAATGGAGTTAAGCCCGTCTTTGAGATGACGAATCCGACCAATCCGACCACGGTAATCACCTGCATTATCGTCAAGAACGCATGTCCAAGAACAATTAGGATTGAATCGCTGCAAAATCTTCGGCTTAAGAATGGAACACCACAGAGTGAATTAGTCAAAAAGGGGGAACGATTGTAGGGGGAAATTTTTGGAAGGGCTAATTCAATCATTAACGTAATTTTTCGGAATCTGGGAATGCAACCATAATGAAAAGTGCGAAAATAATTGAGGCTCATGCAAAAAAAATCAACTCTTAGAGCCAGGAGGCAGGGCACGCCATCGTTGTGATCATCACAACAGGGGGGTCGTATTTGACCTCGAGGGAGGGGGGGGTCGTAAGCGCGGGGACCTTTCTGAAGTGAGGGTGCAGCGATACCCAAATGTCGGTTCAGCTTCAATGATGTGAAGAATCCCTGAAGTGACCCACACAAGACAGAAGCAACCTGCCAGCGCAGAAGTGGGGAACGGGCGATGACAGGAAATATGATGGCCTCCCACAACGACGTCATGAATTAATATTAAAAGATAAAGGATAAAGTCTCCGCCGTTGATCAACCCCTTTGTGGGATGCGGCACGCATTCTACTTCCATTCAGAATCGTAGTGGCTTACTGAATGCGATGTGGCCTATACAATGACTTGCGGTGGCCAGCCGATGTACAAGTCAGTGTTTTCCAAGACGAATCTGGTACCAATTTACCGTCCCCGGAGGGTAGAAGGCTTGGTTGGCCTGGGCGGGAGTCGACCCGGGATTTGAACCCGGCATCGCGCGAGTGGTAAGCGCGCCACTTGTCACTACACCACCTCCGCGCCAATGAACATCCGCCATGAATTAATAAACAGATGAAATACACTTCCGGACCTTTCTATCGCAGAAGCACATCTACTTGCACGGAGGAAGCCCTTTCTAGAAATTGC